TTTTCTCTTCAACCACACTCCAGTGCTGATTCAGCTGAATGATGTTAGAATCTTTTTCTTTAATGGTTATGACACTGCGCATGTATTTTGTATTTTCTGGTTTTTAAAAATCTTTGGAAGCTGAATATACTTGATGGACCACAAATAAAGATCTGAAAATGTGTCTCAGCTTCTTCCCTGCCTCGCTGCATGGATCACTGTTGACTGTAAAAAAAATAAGTAGGAAGGCAAGAACTGGAGGGGTCTATTTCAGAATGCTGTACTACTCCTGACGGTGTGCAGGTTTTTATCGTTGACCCAGTGGTCCTACAGGAATCAGTTATTTAAGGGAAGTCATTTAAGGGAATACTAAGTTATTCCTCTACTGCTTTTTCAGCTGTACAAAAAAGAGTTGATAGAGTAGGGAGCAATGTGACATCAGAACCCCTGGACATAGTGAAAAAAATGGATCGCACAAATGAAGATGTTTAAAAGAATGTGTGTTTGCAAAGTTCACAAGAACTTAATCACGTACCATAATCACAGTAGTTATAGAAATGTATGTGTAATCATACAGAATGTGTGTGTGTATATATATACATACATAAAAGGTTGAAAATATGTGTTACAATAAACAGAAGGACACAGAATATGTGCTCATATATTTTTTTACTCCAAGAAGGTAACTGTGACCCTCTGTGATAATAGATGAAATGTATCTTTGGTCAAGGCTATTGTTTATGTGTGTCACTGTATACCTTTGTGTGTGAGATAACTCTAAATGTGAGATCTGGGGATAATTTTAAATTACTTTACATTAATTCATGCTGAGTTTGTGTTGCAACTCAGTGACCAGCCTGTCATTGCCGTGACTAACCGTTAGCATACAGGCTTAAAGGTATTGGTAGAAAACATCTTTATTTATAGTGAACCTATTGATGCCATTCACTGTGGCTCTGTAGTGGCAAGTAAATGTTTCTGTGCCCATTGCATCTTGGAATACAGTGAGGAGGAAGTCTGTGGTAGCTGGACTGCTTCCCTTAACCCTCTCACTTAAGGGTGATATAAATGGAGATTTCTGTGGCTGAGCTCAGTGCCCAAGAAAGCACTTTAAATGCTTTTATTTCTCTGTGTTTAAGAAAAAATAAATGTTAAAATTACTTACTCAAACTTACTGTAACAGCTTCTGGTAGCCCTTTGTCAAACACACCTGATTCCTTTGCAGCCGCGTAGCGGTGTACAGCATTCTGGGAAGATGCCTGCTGGAGCCAGTGCAGTATGGGCCACTGAGCAAGGGTTTTAGTTCATAAACCTTCTGTAAACTTGGCACATTTAGTTGGTTTTACTGCACATTCAGTCCAGCCTTTGTCTGGTGACAGACTTTTTTGATTGCTGGTCCTCCTCTGCATTTTTAACTAGGTGTGGGAGAGCCTATTTCTTCATGTGCTAGGCACTAGCTAACAAGAAAATAAGAGAGTAAATATTCAGCTTTCATGAACGAGAAAAAACTGGGGGCTCCTTTTTTTGGAAGATGTAATTGATACCCACACAGAAAGTACAGTGGAGTGCTTGCTCTGACAGCATGGGATCCTCGTCCCTGCAGGGCTCCTGGCCACCAGGCTGGAGGTGCTGCTGTGGTGCTCCTTACTCTTTTCTGCTCTGTAGCGGAAGTGGGAGATTTCTGGAGGCGGGGAGTGGGGCTCCAGGGTCTGGTGCTTGGGGCACTCGGGAAGGACAGTGGTACAGGGTGTGGTCCCTGCTCACAGAGTCCTTTCATTGTTTTGTTTGACTACTGTTCAGCAGAAAATTCAGATGCAGTCCTGCAGCAGGGACCAGTTCTCCCAGCCCTCTGTGTGTGGGGCAGGTTAGTTCAGTGGTTTGAGCGCAGTGCTGACAAGAAGGACCAACACTGAGATCATGGGTTTGATTCCCGCTCGGTCCCCATGTGTTGCCAAGAGGTGGCATCCCTGCCCATGGCAGGGAGGTTGGACTAGATGATCTTTAAGGTCCCTTCCAGCCTAGGCCATTCTATGATTCTATGATTCTCAGTCCTGTCTGGAATGAAATGCTGCTAAAACTGATTTTCTTCTTAGAGGCATCACAGGTAGGCCAGTGCTGGGGCTCTGCGCCTTTGCATTTTGTTGCCCAGTCTCTTCCTTCCTCAGCTTCCCAACCAGCATATCCAAATCTCTTTCCACAGAAGTAATCTTTCATTTCAAATATGTAATGTGACAGAGGAACTCAAGTCTTTCCTTAAGAACTATCTCCCCAAGACTTTTT